TACAATCTATAAAAATATTGAATCACTATGTTATACACCTGAAACTAATATAATATTGTAAATCAACTATATTTCAATTTAAAAAAGGAAGAAGTGCACAGTTGTAACAGTTTTACACTAGTCAAGTGGTATAATATCGTTCAAAGGGAGACTGTAATAACTTAAAGATGCCTATTTTAAACAGCCGCTAAAATAATAAAACAAAGAAGTAGCACTAATAAGTCAACTGTGGAAAAGATTTAATATTTTTTAAATGTTCAATTTTTTTTTAAAGGCTGGAAGAGAAGAAAAATAGATGAGTAAATAAAAAACAGAAAGCAAGGTAGTATATCTAGATCCAGCCTTACCAATAATTAACTTTCTGCAATGATGGAAATGTTCTATATCTGCACTATCCAAGACAGCAGCCACTAGCCACATGTGCTATTCAACACTTGAAATGAGGCTAGTGGAACTGGGAATCTAAAGTTTTAATTTTATTTAAGTTTAATTAATTTTAACTGAAATATAAATAGCCACATGAGGCTAGCAGCTACTATATTATACAGTGTATGTCTACATATTCCAAGTAAAAATAGATATTTTCAGACTAGATTGAATGGGAAGACCCAAAATACATACTGTCTAAAAAAGTCCAATATAAATATCAAGACACAGGTAGATGAGAAGTAAAAGGATGGAAAAAGACAAACCATGAAAATGCTAATCTTAAAGAAGTGGGAGTGACTATATTAATATCAAAAAAAGAAGACTTTAGAACAAAGAACATTACCAGGGATAAAGAGGGCCATTTCACAATCACAAAACAGCCAATTCATCAGGAAGACAAAATAATCATAAATGTGTATGTACCTAATAAAAATGCTTCAAAAATACATAAAGCACAAAATTACATTAGTAAAAAGAAAAACCAGATAAATCCACAATTATATTTGGAGATTTCGACACTCCTCTCTCAGTACTGATAAAATAATACACAGAGAACCAGCAGAGATACAGAAGATTTAAAAAGTAGTATCAACCAACTTGATCTAATTGACATTCACAGAACACTCCGCCCAACTAGAATAGACGTTCTTTTAAAGTATATGTGAAACATTAACCAAGAATGACCACATTGTGGGCCATAAAACAAGTCTCAGTTTGATTCAAAAACTGAAATCGGACATAATTGTTTGAGTTTTGAAAAGAACATAATTAAATTAGACATTAATAACAGGAAGATAGCAGGAAAACTCCCAAATTTTTAGAAATTAAACTAAAGACTTCTAAATAACTCATGGGTCAAAAAATAAATCAAAAAGGACATTAGCATACACTTTGAACTAAACAAAAATGAAAACTCACATATCAAAATTTGTGGGATGTAGCTAAAGCAGGGCTTAAAGGAAAATTTATAGCTTTAAACGTTTATATTAGAAAAGAAGGTCTAATATCGATCTCATCTTCTACCTTAGAAAGCTAGAAATATAAGAGCAAATTAAACTCATATAAGTAAAAGAAAGGAAATAATAAAGATTCTGAAAGCGTAAATCAATAAAATAGAAAAAAGATAAAATACAGAAAACAATGAACCAAAAGTTGGTTCTTTGAAAACAGCAATAAAATTGATAAACCTTTAGCTAGATTAATCAAGGAAAAAAAAAGAAAACACACCTTTCTAGCATATGGATAAAAGGGAATATCACTACATATCCTCCAGACAAGAGAAGGACAGTAGGGAGTAGGTTGTTTTGTTTTGTTTTGTTTTTTTCTGGGCCGTTGCAGCACGACATGTGGGAACTTCTTTTCCTGACCAGGGATCAAACCCGCACCCCCTGCAGTGTAAGGGAAGAGTCTTAACCACTGGACTGCCAGGGAAGTCCCTAGGGAGTAGCATTTTTCAAACTCTATGCTGATAAACTCAACAGCTTAGATTAAATGGACAAATTTATTGAAAGGAATTCAAGGGTGTTGTAACATTTAAAAACAAATCAGTGTAATTAATCATATTCTAAAATAAAGGAATTAAATCATATCAGCATCTCTATACACGCAAAAAAACAAACTTGACAAAATTCAGTAACCATTCATGATTAAAAAAAAAAAACTCTCAGCTAATTCAGAGCATAGACGAATTGCCTCAACCTGATAAATTTATGAAAATGTATTAAGAATACGATAAAACTGACAGCTAACATTTTGCCTGAAAGACTGAAAGCTTTCCCCATAAAACTGGGAATAAAGAAAGGATATTCAGCTACACCACTTCTTTTTAACATTCTACTAGAGGTACTTAGCCTGTCTAACAACTAGAAATATGAGGCATGCAGATTAAGGAAGGAAGAAGTAAAACTGCTTTTATTCACAGATGACATGATTGTGTATATAAAAATTCCTAAGGAATCAACAAAAAAGATGCTGGAATTAAAAAGTGAATTTAGCAAGATCACAGGATAAAAAGTCAATACAAAAAATTTATTTCTATGTGCAAGGCCTGTGCACTGAAAACTAACAGCACTGTGGAGAGAAATTAAAGAAGAGCTAAAGAATGGAGGAACACACCGTGTTCATATAAAAATAAAATCCCCTAAGGAAAAGTAAAAATAAGAGGAATCCCTGTGTAAGGAACTTAGAAAATGGGCCCAGTGTGGCTAACAGGGACTCAAAATAAAACGGAGCCAGGCAGTCATGACAGACCGGATTCAGTTACGTACTCTATGTTCTCATTAAAACCAAGAACAGAAAACTATGACTTCTGATTCTGCTAACGGTCCTACCTGGAAACGTCCCCAACTAGAAGCTCTGATGACCAAGCCAATCATCAAAAACTATAGTCAAGCTTCAAGGACTTGTGGTCAGGCTGCAGGGGCCAGCCAATCCTCTTTGCAAGTCTCCCAACTGTGACTTCTACAGTTTGCTTTTAAAAATCCCTCTCTCTTTACCCCCTACACCCAAAGGCACTTTAGGTTACAGCCAAAGGCTGCATATCCCCTGTTTGCAAACCTTGTAAGCAATAAAGCTGCCCTTTTGCTTTAAGATAATCCTGACTATTTTCTGGGATTTATTTCTAATTTAGGACAACATTTTAACATTGAAGACAACACTGTTAAGATGTCATAGGGACTTCGCTGGTGGTACAGTGGTAAAGAATCTGCCTTACAATGCAGGGGACGCAAGTTCAATCCCTAGTCAGGGAACGAAGATCCCACATGCCGCAGGGTAACTAAGCCCAAGTGCCACAACTACTGAGCTTGCGCGCCTCAACTAGAGCCTGAGTGCCACACACTACAGAGCCCATGCGTCCTGGAACCTGCACCCCACAACTACAGAGCCCATGCGCCCTGAAGCCTGTGCGCCACAACTAGAGAGAGAAAACCCGCACACCACAACTAGAGAGAAGCCCACACGCTGCAACGAAAGATCCCACATGCCTCAACAAAGATCCCACGTGCTGCAACTAAAACCCGATGCACCCAAAAATAAATAAAAAATAAGTAAATCTCAAAAAAAAAAAGTCATATATCCTCAGATAGATCTCTAGATTTAGTGCAATCCCAAGGAACATCCCAGCAGGCTTTTCTTGGTAGAAACTGACAACCTGATTCTAAAATTTATATTGAAATGCATATAAAATGCAAAGATCCTAAAAGAACCAAAACAATCTTGATAAAGAAAAACAACGTTGGAGTAGTTACAATACTTGACTTGAAGACTTACTAGAAGGCTACTGTAATTAAGACAGTGTAGTACTGGCACAAGGATAGACATAAAAATCAATGAAATAGAAGAGAATCCAGAAACAGACCCACATATAATTCCCTGGGGCCATACTGACTGATAATGGGGAGAACTCTATCAAGTGATAGAAATGTTTAATATTTTAATTGTAGTCATTACCTGGTATAAACATTTGTTGAAACTCGTTGACACTTGTACATTTTACTGCGCACTTAAAATGGACGCCTTTTACTACATATAAATCATACCTAAATAAAGGTGATTTTAACACATATTTAGAAACAATCCCCAAAACTTATCTTGGTTCCTAATATGAATCTAGCCTAGAAGGAAACTAAGATTTATTAAGGCCCTATAACGTGCCAGACACTGGACTCTGTACATTTAATTCTCACAACCGTCTCCTAAGGCAGAAACTACTTACCAGGGTTTCACATCTGAAGAAATGTTGAGCGTTTGCAATCTCACCCATCTAATAAGTGGAGAGCTAACAGTCAAGCCTAAGTTTATCTCTAATGCCCATGTTGCTACCACCACCATCCTCTTATTATGTCTTCCCTATGGAAACTTTTTCACCAAAGCTACTACTATCCACTAAAACCATTTTTTAAGCCTAACTTTTTTTTTAACTTTCCAAGGCAAATCAACTCGAAAGTAGAGAATAAGAACGATTGCAAGCCTAGATAATCCATAAACTGATGGCTAAATCCAGAACAATGACAAGTGCACCCCATGCACTAAATACGTCAAACTACAGTGTAAAAAATATGTACATACTAGACTCACGAAGAGAAGTACAAGCACATTTCAATATATGAGTCTTCCCACCATCACACAGCAAGTTAAGTGATAAAACTGCCTGCAATACTCTTCAGCTGTAGAATTCTCCCAGTGGAATTTTTAAACTTTAAAATTCTATGCCAAGGACTACTTGGTTGAACCACCTATCTCCTATCCTGCTAAAAATGAAAAATCTGAAATTTATCATCTAAAAGTGCCGGGCAAATAACAATATATAGTGATCAAAATCTTTATGCCTGTGAATGTTATAAAAGGCATAAAAGTATCCAAGAGGGAGGTGGTAGAAAATATAGGAGCCTTGTAAAAAATATTCAGTATTTAAGAGGGAGGTCATGGAAAAGACCATGCTAAAACTTCAAGATAGAGGAGCTAAAGGTGAGAAATAAATAATAAATGTGTACTTATCTTTGGTGTTAAAATAATACTACATTATATAAAAAACCACATTTTTGTGACTCAGAGAAACAATACATACTTACAATTATGTGAACACTGAGGAATCATCATTGCAATGTTGAAATATTCGAAGCAAATTCCACAGCGCAGCAAATCATCTATTGTCTGAAATGCATAAATACATACACACCTATCAGAAAGCCACCAAGGCTGGAACATCTGCCACAGAGCTCCTTCTCCATCCCCTAAAAAAATAATTTAATAATACTTCTTTGTCAAATATTCAAACTCAAAAGCTAAGTCCACATAAACTGCAGGGGAGAGAAAACCTCCCCCATAGGACTTATTCAAATCTTAGGTTATAGAGAACACTTCAGAAAGATAAAGCTGACACTGTACAGAATCCCACTCCATGTTGCCAGCCCGTCACAAAAGGGCTACTCTATTTCTCTTCTACTTGCCATGTATTTCCAGTTCCTCCTCCAAGCCTCCTCCTCTTCAGACCCCATTCCCTGGCCCACTGTCACTGCGGGGGTGAAAGGTACCAGCAGCCATTCACCACACAGGGTAAGAACCAGATCAGAGAACACCAAAGAGAAACACTAGAAATTATCTAGTTAAAACCCTTACTTCACAAATGAGTAAACTTGTATCCAGGGCAGGCTCACAGCACATGAGTCAAGCCAGGACAAAACTTCCTGTCTACCGGCCATCAGTCCAGTGCTTTCTGCTCAGTACTGTACAGTACTACAGGGTGGAGCCAGATGAGGAAGCCCTGGAAAGAGCTGGCGCCAGTGACAGCAGAAGGAGGGGAAGAGGCAGGCAATCTGCAAAGTCAGATAGATGTGCGTCCATCTGGAATGAAACCCAAACAGGAAAGGATCTCTCTCGCAACCTAAAATCTTCTAAATCATTTAAAATGTTCTTTTCTTTTTATAAATTTATTTATTTAATTTATTTATTATTTTTGGCTGCATTGGGTCTTCGTTGCTGCACGCAGGCTTTCTCTAGTTGTGGCGAGCGGGGGCTACTCTTCGTTGCAGTGCGCGGGCTTCTCGTTGTGGTGGCCTCTCCTGTTGCGGAGCACAGGCTCTAGGCGCGCAGGCTTCAGTAGTCGTGGCACGCGGTCTTCAGTAGCTGTGGCTCGCGGGCTCTAAAGTGCAGCCTCAGTAGTTATGGCGCACGGGCCTAGTTGCTCCGCAGCATGTGGGATCTTCCCCGACCAGGTCTCGAACCCGTGTCCCCTGCATTGGCAGGCAGACTCTTAACCACTGCTCCACCAGGGAAGCCCTAAAATGTTATTTCATTCAAAAGAATACTGAGCAGATATTTAAGAGGAAGAAGAGAGAGAGAGAGAGAGAGAGAGAGAGAGAGAGAGAGAGCGCGTGCTCTCTTATGTACTGGTACGGAAAGACTGCCAAGAAAAGTGAAAAAAGGAAGTAAGGTACAGGCAGTACACACTGTCTGTGACCTTTTGTTAAAAAGGGAGGAGGGAATAAGAATATAAATCTGAATGCAAATCTGAACACAAGAACGTAACAAATAATGGTCAAAGGGGTCAGGAAACTAGACAGATGAGGGACAAGTTTGGAGGAAGACTTTTACTTTTTATTTCGCGTACTTTCTGAACCATGTGTATGACCTAAATTTTAAAAATGCAAACAAACAAAAAGACTAATGTTCTAATAGTTCACATATGAAATATTGTTGCCATTAAAGGAAACATGCTTTCAAAGAATAATTAATGCATGGAAAAATGTTCATGTTTTAATGCAAACAAAAAAAAATCAGAGAACAAACCTACAACAATAATACATAACAACAGAACTATGTAGTTTAATCTCCTTAACAATCTTAGGAGGTCTATAGCATCTATATGCCAATTTTTTAGATGAAGCCTATAGAGCTTATAAGGCGATGGATCAAATCCGAGAGGTTGACTCCAAGATGACCCCAAATTTTAAATGCATATACACATTGTGGGTATATGCATGATCACACATGAGAAAAACTGAAGAACAATAAGAGAAAATGTTAAACAGTGGTCCTCTCTAGATGGTAGGATGCTAGGTAACTTTCATTTCCTCCTTTATCTTACTGTAAATTTTAATTTTTTTCTACTATATACACATTCTACATTTATAATCTGTCAAAAACAAATTTTTGTTACAGTAAAACCAGGGAAATAAACATTCAAATGCCCAAATCTTCCATTACTTTGGATGGTAAGCTACCACTGACACAAAAAGCTAGAGGATTGTGTTGAAAATCAATCAAGAGCAGAGGCAAGACCAGGAGCCAAAGCCCTGACACCTGGTCTATTTGCTTTCTTCTCTATCACTGTCCTCTCCTGGAGGAGTGGTTCTGACAGATGTGCTGAGCAGGATCTGTGGAAGTGATACCGCATCCGATGAGCTATAACATTCTTGCACGGATGTTCAGTCCAGTGGATGCCCTGGGATTTCCTCAACTTAGAGAAAGTGGAAGGGGGAAGCTTTCACTTCCCTTATCCAATTCATAATCTTCATGACAACAAATAAAAAGCAGGAGGAGAAATACTTAACACATGTTAAGCATTAATAATAATAATAAAGATATATTGATTTAATGCTTACTACCTTCTAGATACCTTCAATCAATTAGCAAATAATTTTTGAGCACCCACTATGTGCCAGGCATTGTGTTAGGCACAGTGAATAAGCCAGACAGGATCCCTATCCACATACATCAACTCATTTAACCAACCTTATAAACTATTTCTGTCTCCAGTTTATAGTTGAGGCAACCCAGGCTCAGAGAGGTTAAGTAACTGAATCAAGGTCACACAGTTAAATAGAAGGCAGAGACTAAATTTAAGCCAGAACCATTGGAACTCAAATCTATGCTCTTCTCCACTGCTCACTGGAGCCAAAGCCACCACAACTGCAAAACCACGGCTTTCCCAGATCCTTCCACAATGTCAGCTCTTCAACATGGGGAGATCTTCAGTCACCAAGCCCTGTAGATGACACTGATGATGGCAGGTAGAACAATAAGTAAGGCCTTATGCTTACTTTAACCTCTCCCAAGTCCCTTCACTTAATTCTCAAAGTCACCTTATGAGTCTGTGGGGCAGATACCATAATCCGTAGTTTACAAAACTGAGCAACAGAAGGAGAACATGATTTTGCTCAGTCACAAACGGAAATAATCACAGAACAAGAAGAAAAACCAAGCAACTGATTTTAGCTAGTACAGAATGGTGTGTTTGCTCTTGACCAAACATAGTAGGAATCCAGGACTCACCACTACCGTCCATGGAAACAGGAATGCATTGCCAAAAACAAAGTAGCCACAAAAATCAATGTTATTTGAGTGAAAGACTTCAATAAAATGAAAGGCTAGGGCTTCCCTGGTGGTGCAGTGGTTGAGAGTCCGCCTGCCGATGCAGGGGACACGGGTTCGTGCCCCGCCCCGGTCCGGGAAGATCCCACATGCCGCGGAGCGGCTGGGCCCGTGAGCCATGGCCGCTGAGCCTGCGCGTCCGGAGCCTGTGCTCCGCAACGGGAGAGGCCACAACAGTGAGAGGCCCGCGTGCCGAAAAAAAAAAGAAAGGCTAGTGCTAAACGTGAGTCCTGCCTTCTTTGCTTAAAAGAGAAGATGCACAACTATCAAGAGTTAGGACACGTTAGGGAGGAATTAGGGCAAAGTAGCACTAGGCTTCTTGAGGGTAATTAGAAGAAATGAATGAGAATGTAAAGGAGACTGCCCGCTTTGCTAGGTGATTAAATACATGTTTTCTGATGCAAGCTCCACTCCAAACCGTGCCCGGTGTCACTGTGGGAGACTCTTCACTAAAGTACTGGGAGAGTTTACATAATGCTTGGCACGCAGTAAGCTCTAAGAAAGGATTAGGTATCACTGTCGTTTCCACCGTTTAGAGTAAGTGTTTCTTTCCACATCATTGTGATTGTTGTGACTGAACGGCAGAATACCCCGTCCCATACGACAGCCAACCTAGGCTCACCATAAGGGACCAAGGCCTGTCCCCGGTACTTCCCAGGAGAGGAAGAAACTGAGGCCCAGATCCACGCGGTGGCAAATGGCAACGCAGAGCCGGGTATCCTGGCCCAATTCGGCGCTGGCGCCTCGTCCTTTCTCCTCCTCAAGGCGGGGCTGGCCTTCCGCGGACGTCGTACACCCCCGACCTCCCCGAAGCACTCACCTTCATGACTGCCAGGCCCGGAGGCCACCGAGGCTCTACTAGGGAGTCCATGGCCTCCCCTAAAGAAGGTGGGGGGTCCGCGACCCACTGGTCTCCAGCGCTCCACTGCCACTCGAAATTCCCCGCGCTACAGAGCTACGTCAGCAGTCGGCGACGCGCCCGACGCGTGTGCGGAGCATGCTGGGAGTTGTAGGACGTGGCCAAAGCGCAACCGAAGGTGCTCTCTTTGCGCACGCGCCAGGCTTCCGCTACGCCTCCTTGCGCAGATGTGTGGTTAAAAAACCCACTTGGGGGTTTTGTACTGTACCATTAATAAGTGAATACCTGTTGAATGTTAGGAAGAGACAGCCTAAAATCAAACCAAATCCAGGCCTTGCCAAACCTTTCAAGGCCTGGGCTCCTGCCTCTTCCTTCCGGTCGCCCTCCCTGATTGCTATAATGAGCTGTCTCTGCTCAGAGCCGGGGTTTTCACATCCATTATTTCATCTCACCCCATCACAATACTGAGAGGTAAATATCATTATTCGTTTACACAAGAGAAAGCTTTGGCTCAAAAAAGTGAATAGAGTTTCTCTGAGTCACGCAATTTCTTTGACCAGACTACACATAGGGCCTCTGGCCTTAAAATAGGAGCTCTTTTATCAAATAGGATGGTTAATTTAATTTAATCATCTTAACTTTGGCGTGTAGCCTTCCAGGTATTTCCTGTACAGATACATAGATACAGGTTTTTTTGCCCACAAATGTTGATATATTAAATGCATACCTCTGTCAACTTGAGGTTTTCTGTGGGTTTATTTACATACATCCTGAGACCTCTCCATGTTAATACATAGAGATTTACTTCATTCTTTTTAATAGCTACATAGTCCATAATACAGATATACCACAATTTACTTATTTACACCCATACTGAGGACCATTTAGGTTGTTTCCAGTTTTTCCTTATTGCAAACAGTTGCAATGAACACACTATCTATATAAATCTTGGCACACTTGAACCAGAATATTTGGGGGATGATTTCCTATAAATGGAACTGCTAGGTGAATTTGTGTGCTCTTTAAACACTGTGATAGCTAGCACTATGTGATTTTCCAAAAGGGCTGTACCGATACATTTATACTCTCACCAAGTGAGTACGAGTGCCCTTTACCCAGATGTGAAGCGTTGACCATCGCACCACTCAGTCTGTCTGCTCAACTCAGCACTCATCGATGGGCTGCCTGATGTGGGCCTCCTTCACATCAGGTCTCGTGGGCAGCACGTCAGCATACAGGAAGTCAGTTACTCAGGGAAGACCCCTGCAGCTTGCCACTGCTTCCCCCTGTGGTCCATGTGTTCATTCCTTCGTAATTTTTTTTTAAGTGCTTACCATTGGCCAGTCAGAGCTTCCCTGTGAAGTAGGCAGAAGTGAGGCTGCTATTGCCATTTTACAGATGAAGACAAGGAGGCTCAGAGAGGTTAAGGCTTCACTCTTTTGGGCTCTCTTCATAAGGAACTCTGGCCCCTGAGTCAGGGATATATTAAATTGATTTTTCCCAGCCTGTGCCCAAAGACTCATTGGGCAATAATGATATTAACAGCATTTGGACAAAGGACTTTAATATCCATCACAACAATAGCTGACATTTATTAGGCACTTCGTATGCAAAGCACTGTTCTAGATGTTTTTATGTATGTTGACTTATTTCAGACTCACTCCAACCAAATGAGGAAAGAGAAATAAATAGATAACTGGCATAGTGCGTTCTGCTAGTAAGTGGAAGAGGAAGGATTTGACTTGGGCAGTCTGGCTTGCGTCCATATTAAGCCCTACAGAATATTCTTATAAGGACCCCATCATGAGAATTATTCCCATTTTATAGATGTAGGAACTGAGTCTCAGAGAGGCAAAAGGACTCATTCAAGATCACACAGCTTGTCAGTGGCAAAGTCCGACGTTGAATCTAGATCTTTTAACCCCAAACCAGAAGGGATCACCCACTGCCATTTTATGGAGAAATAACTGAGCAGACAAGGCCGCAGGGCAGAGGTCTAAGGATCGCAGGATGCTAGACCTAGTGGGGCTCCTACAGGAAGGTGGGGAGTGGCAGGTTAGGCGAGGCAGTGGGTTTCTATCAGCCAATTAGAAAGGGGCATGTAAATGAACTCCAGGCTGCGCTGGATGTATTGGATCCAGGCTGTGCTGGATGCATTGCCTAGTCCTGGATGCAGGGAGATGGGGTAGGCTTGGGAAGACAAAGGAAATGAGACCAAGACCAGATCCCAAGCCTGAGTGCACCAGTAATTGTTCTTTTATGGTACTAGTTGGCTACAAGGTTTAAGGTGGCAAAGCTCTGGGGAGTTGAGAAAAGGATAGAGAGGAGATGAGAAAAGAGAAAAGGAATGGGGAAGGAAGGGGAGAGAGAGACAAGACAGGGAAAGAAACGCACGCTTCCTATTCAACTATGAAGACAGGTTTGGAAGCAGGCATCACTCGTTGGCCTTGGGGTCCAAACCCATCTCCCCGTCTCTGGAGAGCCTCCAGGGCAGCACCCGGTACCATTCATCTCTGACTTCCTGCCACCAGCTGCTTGGTGGGACTGAATGAATGAGTGAATCTCTGGAATAAGCCCACATACCCATAAATCTCCTCCCTGGCCAAGCAGTTCCCTTCCTGCCCTCTTCAATAGCACCCACTCAAGCCCACCTCTGGGCCACGGAAGGAAAGTCCACACAAGGGCACAGGCAGGTTCTGAAAGCCACTTTGAGCTCAGGACAAAGCATCTGCCTTGCCCTCCCCACAGTATCTATCCACCGGCAGGAGCCAGTCTCCTCTAACAAGCTGCTGGTTCCACAGACATTCTCCTTCTGTTAGATCAATAAAGAGATTGCACTTCCTTATTCAGGAGTAAAAACAAAACGTTCCATACAGAAAAAGCCAGTGCTCAGTAGAATCTCTTGTTGCACTAGCGCAAAGAGAGGATCCGGGATAGGGTGGCCAGGTAAAATACAGGATGTCCAGCAAATTTGAATTTCAGATCAACAGCAAACAGTTTTTTAATATACGTATATCCTAAATATTGCACATGACATACTTAAACTAAAGATTTATTCACTGTGTATCTGAAATTCAAATTTAACTGAGCATCTTGTATTTTATTTGCCAAATCTGACAACCCTAATCAGGAGAACATTCTCCCAGCTGAGTGTGGAGCCTGGTCTGGCTGTATCTTGAGGGGTCCCAGGCCCCCGAGTTCCTTGCCGGGGTCTCTCGTAATCACACTCCTCTTTGTCCTCCATTCTTCCTCCAGGACCCAGCCTCATTCTAGGCATGGGAGGGGAATGTTGAAGGAGGCTTTATCCCTTCTTTCTTCCCTCTCTCCCTCCCTCTTTTCCTCCCTCGATTCTAACAAATGTTTATTGAGCCGGTACCCACCTCTTCCACGTGCTGGAATTCAGAGGTGAACAAGAGTCGTGGTCCCTGCTCTCAGGAGCTGACACCTTGGCAGAGGATGGGGCCAGGACAGAAACAAGGGAGAATGTAAGAAAAGGAGTAGATAAGCTCATTTAATAAAATGGGAAGTGATGTGAAAACAAGAGAGGATGGTGTGGTAGAGAGTGGGGAGACGCTATAAACTGGCTGATCTGGGAAGCTCTCTCTGAGAAGATGACATCTGTTAAGCTAGAGGCAGCCATGTAAAGACCGGGGCTGTGGAGAGTTCCAGGTCTTGAGAAAAGAGTTTGGGTTTTAATCCATGTTAACTTGGACAAATTATTTAACCTCTCTGTGCCTCAGTTTTCTCATCTGTAAAATGGGGTGATAATAGTAGTATTTGCTTTATAGGGATGTTGTGAGAATTAAATAAGTTATTGTAATTTAAGTGCCTAGAGCAGCACCTGGCACCTAATAAGCAAGTGCCGTGTGAGTGTCAGATGCCAGGGTTATTATGTTTCTATAACCCCCATGGGGAGCTCTTGGAGGGTTTTAGGCAGGGAAGTGATGTGATCTGATTTACATTTTCAAAAGATTTACATTTTTAAAAGATTTAGAATCATTCACACTTTCATCTACATTTCATTTCTAGCTGCTGGGTGACGAAAGGATTTTAGTGGGAAAAGCGTAGATGTACCCGTCAGGGGATGTGACGGGGCTGGACCAGGTGGCAGCAGTTGGAGGAGGTGAAGGTGCTTTGGGCTCTGTGCTTACTGGGGACTCTATCCCTATGACAAGGCCACCCTCTAACTCCTCCTAGATGTAGACCTGCCTTGTTCTCACCAGCCACTCCCACCCTGGAGACCCAGCCCCAGGGCCGGCATGTGAACAAACCCTAAGAATCCTCCTGCATGTTGAGGGACAGTGGCCAAGTCATCATGGAGTCACCTGCCAGACACGTGGGTGAGGCCATCCCAGGCCATCCAACCCCAGGCAAGCCACCTGCTTACCGCAAAGAGCAGCCCAGCCAGCCCTGCCCATAAAACTGCTCAATATATCCACAGGATCGTGGTAAATAAAAAATGTCTATTGTCTTAAGCCACTAAGTTTGGGGGTGTGTTTGTTACACAGCAATGGCTAACTGCTATAGTGAGCAAAAACCAAAGTGACCCTCCCCGGGAGTCTTTTGCCTGCCTGGAGCCTAGTTTGGGAGACCCCAGGTACAGCCCCAGTCCTACTGGTCCCTCCTCTTTCCAGAGCCATCTCCTGCTCTCTTTGATCCCGATACTTATCTGTACTCTTCTTCCAATCTGGTGCTGGATTTTACAGGTGCCAGAGCAAGACAATTCTTCTATGCAACAATTCCTGTCTCCACAGGCTCCAAGCCATTCCTCCTATAAGGAGGCAGCCCTCTACCTGGAACTAATTCGGGGGTGTGTAGCTGAGTCCTGCGCCAGAAAATCTCCACCATCTGTCATGATGTCTGGAAACACTCCCCCTCCCCCATTCAAGCTCCAATTCTTTGACTCTTAAAGGCTGTTTAGATTCCCAGAGCCCCCTTGGGAGCGTTGAGTGCCCTCTGGGGGTGCTAAAGCAGGTTGCCCCTCTCATGCTATAGCACAAATACACCACATGGCAACTACTTCATCTCCCCGACTAGACCAGCTGTGCCCCAGCCCCAGCTGTGAGTGCAGGGGGCGCCCAACAAATGCTCCCT